TTTTTCCGTATTTTACGACTTTTTTTGCAAGCACTCTAGCGGCAAGGGAAAGCATTTTGGAAAAAAATGTCAAGAGACAAAAATGTTCAGGACACATTTCTCTATCCGCTCTGATAATTTGAGAAAAATCTGTGACAGTGCGTTGAGCACGCTATGCTGGAAAAGTGCGTTTCTATCGTGCATTGCCTCTTATGTCATTTGACATGTTATTTTCCTCTGATATAATGGCCTAGACCGCATCCGTGTAGAATGACTATTCTTATTTCTCTTTCTGAAATAAATAAAATTTAAACTAAACTGAACGAAAAATATAGAATAAAGAAAAACATGAAGTTCGCTCATATTGTATGTAATAGAGCCTTAGCGTATAGCAAATCTTTTTTAATCGCATACAGGAATACAAATGTGACATTAGGTAGCCTATGCGGAAGGCAAGAAAAGGATTTTTTTCTCGCATCTTCTTCGTGTTCTATGGAAATGACGTATGAGAAACTTTTGTTTTCACTCATACAAAATAAAATATTTTAACTGATCGTTGTACAATTTCTTCTTGATTAGAGAAACAAAGCGGGATGTGGAATGTGATTCTTCAGAAATGTGATTTTTCATTGCATTCGACAATCCCATCATGGGCGTGGCGGTGTTTTGTGGGATTCAGTTCAGTCTTTAGAAAAAAAGAACTTTCATTTCGTTGGAATGAATGACCACGAGATGAGAAAGATGAAGATAAAGATAAAGATGAAGAATAAGATGAAGAAAAAGATGATGAAGGTAAAGATGATGAAGATAAAGATGATGAGGATAAAGATGAAGGTAAAGATGAAGGTAAAGATGATGAAGATAAAGATGAAGGTAAAGATGGAGGTAAAGATGACGCACATTTTGTTCATCTTTTTATGCCGTTTGTCGTTTATAGGCAGGATAATAATTCATCCTCACGTAAATAAGCGAAATGTTTCTGTTTTTTCGTTCTATCTTAAAAAATGCGTCTGAATGTCGACATATACACCGCATTAAAATGTGCTGTACGCTAAGGCTCTAGTAGATCGAAGATGACAAAAGACTATAACGATAACAGAAAGAAAAAAATATAGAACAAGGATAGTGAATCGTAATTCAAGGTTTTGTGAGTTTGGGCCCTTAATGCGCCGTGCAAGAAGCGTGGTAGTGCAGAAGTCTACACCCTCAACCTCTGCATGTGCAGAACAAAATATTTTTTGCTAACCTGCAAACTGCAGCGCGGATCAATTTTATTTTATCCCTGCGCAGTAATTAAAATATGCAGGTGATCAGGTCTGTTTTCGGTGACACTATAGCGGATGCACTTAGTCGTCAATCCTCATACCATAATCGTGCTGGAAAATGAATGTGTGTGTGTCAATCTTTCTCTCTCTTTAACTATATATCGATGGACGTAGTGGATCGTTGTCTATTCGACGACTCGTGGGTTTCGCTTCGGTCACCCGGTTTGGTGATCGGGTTTTAGAGGTTTGTTTCAATCAGTGATTCACGTTGAACATAAAAATGGCTTAGAGGCTTTTATATGAAGGACATCCTACTCTTGCATCGTATACTGACTTACCTGTAGAAGTGCCTTGCTGCCAAACATTATACCCAGAGCCTCACTCTCCTAAAACAAAGCATCGTTAATTAATCTTTGAATGGTTTTAATTTTCTTCATAAACCTATATAATTAGGTGATAAAGAAGTTGTTCTTGCTTGACTTTTTACATCTCTTTAAATTTCTACGCATCTTTGCCTGCCAGAGAAAACGTTTTTACAAATGATTTTACGAGCTACACAGTGGTAAAAATACATTTTTGAACGTGCCTTCCAGATGCACAAAAATATATTTTCACTCCACCGTAAGGAAGGTGTTATATGTGCATTTAGATATCATGTCATGACTTTTCCATGACTGACATTTCCGCCAACAGAAACTTTCGCAAATTTTTGAGAATAGAAATTTAACCATTTTTCTAGCACAGATGCACTTGCACATCTATCTGAGAATCGTCATTTTCGTAAAAATTCACTTTTCGTTAGATTTTAAAGTTTTTCCCCACCGAAAGATTTTCCGACGGGATCTATTGTTGAGCCTGCAACTTCGGAACGATGACATCTTCCTTAGAAAAAATATGATTCCCATAAATATTTCTACACAAATAGTTAGTCTCCAGTACCAGATTTTCTAACAACTCTCTGGCACTTGTTGAAAAGAAAAAAGTAGTTCCTCTTGGCTGAATAGACTGTCTTGTTATAAGATACATGTTATCGACGATCCCCTTAAGGAAGTTTGTAAAGGTGTTTTTAATTCTTAGAGTTTACCTATAAACTGACCATGATTAAACTAACCTTGATTAAATCATCATGTTTTTTTGCATCGATAATTGTTATGTTTTTGATGTTCGAACTATTAATCGGACTACAGTTTCTTGACAAATTATCTTCACCTGCCATTTGGGATAACACACGCTGGTGATGATAAATACCTAAACAACTTGTTGTCAAATTTGCACTTGGATGTTCAATCTGATAAAGGTAATCAGGAAGGATTGGAACTAAAATATGTGGAAAGAATATATAAGTGCTCCTATAGTTGATCTCAATACTTACCAACAGTGGTTAGTAACATACTATCTAGAAAAAGTGCGATAAATACAATAAATAAAACCAGTCGACGAGACTGACGCCATTTTTGCCAAAAGTTCCAAAACCAATTGATATCCATCAGACACTGATTCAGGAGGCGTACTTTAAGGTCATTCGGTCTAAGAGAATGATTAAAAGGATCTAATGGCGCGATAGAGTTTGTTTTTTTGAGAAGTATCATTCTTTCAAGTAGAATTTATGAAAATTTTCATAGAGTTACAGATGAATGAAAATTTTTTTAAAATATGTAGTGTCTGCAAAAATTTTGGACCTTAACATCCAGAAGAGTGAGATCATCCAAACTGGGCAAACCTAGCTGGGTGGAAAGGAGGGTAAAATACGTTATATTTTTTGCTTGAACACCCTTAAAGTGCAGCTCCTTACACCAGTTTTTTAATCTGAAAGTAATATGAACATGAAAACAGATTGATAAACCACGAAGACAATTTCAGGTAACTTTTACAAACTAATTAACCAATATTTATTTTAGAAATAACAGTAGAATGAAAAATAAAGAAATATGTCATACATTGCCTGGAAAGTAGAAAAGTTTCGAATCTTAAAAAACATTGTCTCATACAAAGTAACAGAAAAAGTACACACACACACATATATAAACACTGACACTTTTTTTGAGGTGAGCTAGAAAAGGCTTTTACAAAAAGTTTTCCAAAAGGGTTTCTGGAAGAGCCATTAACAAAAATATTCTTTTGTGGTCTTTCAATCTACAAACCACGTTTAGCGTACAAAATCAGCGTATTCTGAAGTTTAACTCGTTCAAATATTTTTTGACTGAATATTGAATTTTTTACTATTATATGAATTATATGGTGAAAATCGTTACTTTCGTAAACTTTACTTTCCGCCAGATTTTAAATTGTTTTTCTAAAAACAAATATTGCCATAAGATTCAGCATGATCTATCACCTATAATCCATGAGTTTTCTAGGGTGCATATAGTCACTGAGTGTCAGTTCTGGGACTCGCAGAAAATCTGATACAACAGTCGAGCTGTGAAAAATGAAGCTCTCGTTTCACTCCTGTTTGTAGAGGAGATAACTAGGTGTGCATCTCAGCAAACCAGTAGGTCAACATCGTTCATGTTTTACAATGTCCATTTATTATTTTACGAAAAAGTTGTGTCTTCGGCTTAATCGGCAAGAGATGAATCTATTCTTTAACTAATTGTAATCATCTAATGATAATAAATTAATTTTAATTTTGATTGAATGTATAATTTTGATGGTAAATCTAATTTAAAGCCAGGGTCGCCATGTTAGAGATCGACCCAGTGTGTATAGATGTTTTTTCTCTTTATTGTACCAAACGAAAAAACGAAATACACAAGTCTCTAATCGATATGATTTGGTACAACTAACGAACTGTCGTGAGGAAGATCACGGGCATATATAAGCAGAAACAAGAAAACTCTAGGTGCTATGAAAAGAAAAGAAAATATACTAACTAAAAGAGTGAATAACTATGTATAGTGAACAAAGAAAGAAGAGGAAATACGTATGTGTATCTGTACGGTCTACTTTAGTGATACTGAAGAGAAAAAAGAACAATGAATGAATACATGTGAGAGATCACATCCCTCACATACCATTAAATGATAAAAAGTTCTGTGTCGTAAAATTTTCTGAAATCTTTTACCATACAATAAACTGCCGGCTTCCTCATGAAGAAGGAATTAGAAACTCGACAGTTTGGTGCTTGAAAAATTCAACAAATACCTGAGTACCAGACCAAAACGAAAAGGGTTTAAAAACGCATGAAATGCTAAAAATGAACTGTGTTATAATTGTTGAACAAACTATTTTCAGAAAGGGTGCTTTTATAGTTATTATCACCTTAACTGATCACACTTGTAACAGAGATGGGCGGATATCCGAAATAGGAATATCTAGAATTGGGATATCCGAAGTAATAATATTTGCACTGAGAATAATGCACGTAGTCTACACTATGAGTGGATCGGTTTTATTTTGGTATTTTCGTAAAAAGGAGTTGCAACATTTTTTGAGCATATGTGTATGCTGTGGTTGTGGGGTATTAGTAAAAAATGCGGACACCCACACAGACATCCACAAGCACCCACGGACATCTGCACGGACACCCACTGAGAAGCCCAATTACGCTCAAGTTTTACTCATATACAACGCTCATTCGGCATTTTACGATTGAAAAAGAATCTGATGCTATCAACTGTAGCTTATATTATATTTGTTCACACTGTCGTACACGTGACCATCAGCGTGTTGGTAACGAGTGTATAGCCTCGTGACAAAAAAACTTAAGAACATAACTTGACTGCAAGAATATGAGGAATGTGAGGAATCCCAGCAGAAATCTTGCGGAGTGCGGGTGGTGGTGGGTGCTAGGGTGAGAGTGAGTTTCTCAACAACATTTCACGTTTCATTTTGTTTTTGCGTAGTTGTACTGAAATAATGTTTGGACAGCGACTTTGGGAAATTTAGAGTTAAAAAAAGTTCACACTGTGGAGTTTTTCAGCGAAAGATTCGTCGAATGTTAAGCGGTTGATTGTTTTTCGCTCGAAAGTCGACAGTCTCGAAATTTGTCACTTGGAATCCGACAGTTTCGAAGCTTTCCGGTCGAAATTTGACCCTGTCGAAAATTGAATACATACAAATTTCCACCGAGTTTTTAAAAGTGAATAAATTATTTTGGTGATATTCATATATTTCGAGATTTTATATATATATGTTCTAGACGTACAAGCCTAAAACCATAAAAGCTCAAAGACATGAAACCGTCTGATGAGTGAGCGGGATTGGGCATCAGAGTGAGTAATCAGATCACGTTCAATGTTCACCCACTAAAACCAGTTTTACAAAAACTCTAAAAAAAGTAACCAAAACCTTTCTTAATGAGCCATAGTTGTAGCCGGCACATATCTGATTAAAACGAGACATCTCCCAGCTCTGCATGACCTTTCTTTGCCCAATTAAAGAATTCACAAGAAAAGCCCAAAATATTCATTGTCGGCTCAAAGCTACAGGAATAAGAGGAAATTAATTTAGGGTTTTCGTTTGTAAATTCTATAGCTTTGCAAAGAAACATCATGTAGAGCTCGGAGACGTCTAACTCTACTTAGTAATGTGCACGCTACAATCAAAGATGGCCAAACATGATTGTGATTCATATTTGAAATTCAGGTGTACAAAATGAGCTATGAAACATAGTGTCATATTGCTATACGCTGCTATATACTTATATATTGCATCTATGTTCTTGCATACATTTCATAGAAGAACGATATGAAAAATTAGGAACATGAGAAATGTCCAAACATTATTTCAGTTTGGAACCCCCCACAACCCACACTCGGCGAGATTTCTGCTGGGATCCCTCATATTCCTCACATTCGTCATGTTCTTCACATTCCTCACATTCACAGTATTACTCCCATGTTTTGAGCTGTCTACGATGTTTAAAGAAAGCGTAATTTCGGATATGTGTCATAGTCATGTTTGACCACCCCTCCTTGACTGAACAAAAACAATATGCTTTTGTTCCCGATGCTAAACATATATAAGTAAAGCGATTTTGAATTGACATGTATTATCTTTTATGCCTAAACAAATCTCCACTTAAAAAAAGTTCATGGCATGGCTACGACATAGACAATTTTGCAAACCTATCTAGTCTTTTTTGTGAAGAGATAGATGAAGCTGATTTTTTTATTTCATTAGAACCGCCATTAAACGAGCTTTAAAGTACGTTTCGCTTTTTTTATTTATTTTGCTTTACTACTGAGAAAATACATTTTTTCCAAATAAGGAGCGAAAAATCGGAATTCCGCCAGTAATTCTCGATTTTTTCTACCAGAACTCACCTTTTATCCAACAAAAATAAAACCGCTTCGAATGATTTATGTTTTGAAAATATTTAGTGATTTTATATTCTACATATATGTATTTCATTTTACGTTTTATTTTGAATTATACAGGTGGTTTATCTCTTATTTTTTAGATATAGTCGTTATATCAATGCCGGTACATAAACGAAGTTTAGCCAACCATGGTTGGAAAACACGGATTCTGGGCA